AAATATGAATAGACAACAAGAAGTAGAGGCAGTATCATAACCGTAGTGTCATCAAGTTTTTGTAGACAATAAGATCTTAACAATGAAGTTAATAGTAAATTTCCTATTTTTGCCGAAGAATCATTTAAATTTCATAATCACTAGCTCGCGAAGAAGTTCCGATGACACTGAAACGCAAAAATGGCTCATAGGAGAGGTACAAGACCGACATGGTTAAAATTGATTAGATTATCTGCTAATAATAAGAGTGGTGAGTTTGTAGTAGTATTGGTAGAAAACTAGTTGAGAGAGAGAGGCCAAACGAAAGACCCGCATGGTGTGGTGGTGAACGCGTCAGCCCTCTGAAAAGGTAATAGCGCCTTCGTTCTCCACCGCAGACATCTGCGATCTGGAGTTTTGCAAATATCTCAGCATCATTGAGTTTGTAGTAATTCCTCGTCAGTTAGACGTTGAGATAAAAAAATAGCACCTTAAATATGACTAACTTCCTTGCCTATCACATGGAACGGATTTCGAAAATCAGTAAAGTAAACTGAACAGTGCACAATTGTTAAAGTGGCAAAAACGGCAGGTTTAAATACATTAGTTACTTTTTGACTTAAAGATGAACTGCCAATGTGTCTTTTTTTGTACTTACTAAATCACATAAGTTAGTAACCACTGATAATCATGCATTTACCGACCCATCATCGGCTGGGTAGACGGCCAGTGGATATGACAACGTGGTTCTTAAATACTTGCCCAGTTGCTAAAACACATCTCAGCTCATTTCACGGGCAACCAAATGTTTTTTGATTGTCTACATAACGGACATCCTACTAGCGCGAACACGACGGAGTCTTTCGACGCTAACGCCCTTTATACGAATGTATTAAATGACTCCTCCATGCAAGCCGTCTTCGAACTCTTTGTACAAAACAAAGAAGCGGTAAACATATATTGATTTTCGGTTCAGCAACTTATAGGTCTCTTAAGAGAGTACCTAAATTGTTCGACCTTCAAATGATCCGTGAAGTATTTCGCGCAAATGAGAAGGTTGGCAATAGGAGGGCGACTGCCACTACACCTTGTTATTGAACTTTACTGTAAAGATGTAGATAAATAGATGAATGCAATGCTATCTGCTCTACACAAGAGAAGATGGACAAGTGTTTTCTGTTGATAAAAGAACAGTCAGTGGACATTAATATATCTCAGAGAAGCTGGAAGAAAACTGACTTGCATTTTTGAACACTGAAATCAATTTATAGAAGACGGCTACATCATAAAGTGGAACAAATGCCAAGCAACCCCTAAAATTGGCGTGCCGAAACGATTCAGATTGGCATCCAGCGAGAATAAGGTCTCATCTATCCTGCCATTAATTTCCAAAAAACTGAGTCCAGCTATAAAACGTTACTTAAGAAGGGTAGGTTTAGAGATATCAGAAGCAGTGATTGAAATATAACTGAACACTCTAAGACGCCGATTAGTGCACGACCGTTTGTATGACCACTGCAGAATGCAAAACTGCACAATATGCGCTAACGGTAGAGGATTCATGAGTATGGTTACGGTGTACCCAATCTCTTGTAAAGTGTGCAAGGGAGAATACATTAGCGAAACTAGTATAACATTTCGCGTACGTACAAAAAAAACCTAGACTGGGCGCGCATAGGGCACAAAAACACAATGGAGAATGCTTCAAAATATAAGTCGGTATCCTCCCAGGGAAATCCAATAAACCAATGGGCAAAGCTCTTGATGCATTCTGTGTAAATTCCGAGAATCTGAAGACGATCCGCAGGTAGGAATGCTTTGTTATCACTCGTACTCTCACAAAATACCTCAAATTTACATTTTAACGTGGTAAAAGCTTCTTATTCATGTGAACTCTCTACAGTTGGTCTCCACGTGGAATGCTTAGTGAAGCACTTATACAGAAGGGGAGTGTGTGAAGCTGCTTTGCGTCCAGTGCAATTGAAATCTAGATATGGTGAATTTTCTGTTGAGGCCATGGAGGTATTTTGCTGACAGAGTAGCAGCTAACTTGCTTTTTCCAATCACTAAAATTTGGTAAAAAGTAGGCTCTTGTGAATAATAGTACATTAACGACCTAGTGTGTGCTTATGAAGAAAACAGCGAAATATAGGAAAGCCTTTAACACGGGAGGTTTCATCTACTTAAACTTTTTTGCTTTTGACAAAATGATAGCCAGAGATCCCTAGTAAGCTCATGCGGTAGGTGGTGAAGGTATGCCTAACTGTAGACTGTTGAGCTTTCCCGAAGTATATGTTAAATGCAACTCCGAGCATCGTCATCATTATCGCGCATTTCGTATTTACTTCGCTGTAATATGATGGAAGATATTTTGTGGAATCGACGTGTGCGTAGCACAGTGCACACATGCGTAGAGGCACACTCTCGCCTGCCCTTATGAGTATGGTTACGTGAAGGAATGTGGGTCCGCAAGGAAAAAAGATCTGTTCACTTCAACCCACTAACGTTTCAAGGCTACTATATGGTTTGCGTGCATATATATATATATATTTAGCCTATTTTTAAAGGTAAATTTAGCCAGCATAACTGGGCTGGATCAACAACTATCTACACATGAGGTGGTATAAACCTTCCAAATAACATCAACGGCATCATCACGAAATTTTGGTGAGAGAAAAAAATCACAGGAAACATTTCGAGCTAACGGAAAATCCATTAAAGTTGCTGAAAAGCCTAGATTTATGGAGGCAATTTAGGTGAAATAAAAATAGTCTTCTGCCCATTCCCATTAGATATCGCTTTTAATAGTGTTTTGCTAAATGTACTTACCTATTTGGATACTTGGATGGCCCGCCTTCACTGATTGTGCGGGCTCAAGCAAAATCTCTATTCTCAAGAGATTTGCTGGTTCCCTGGAATCCCAGGGTCGACCTAACAAAAGTCTTCCTCAGGTCGCCGCCACCACAAGAAGTTGCCGCCGTTTTGGATTGGAGAGAGATTTCGGTCAAGTGAGCTTCCAGATGGAAGCGCCGGACTCCTTCTCAGAGAGGGAGACCCCGCTGGAGGGAGGAACGGCCCACTGCACATCGCAGCCCGACACCCAAACACCTGCTACTCGCGATGAGGCAGTAAACCGTTGTGAGAAATAGGTTTGAAAATAGAAAGGAAAAACGGAAATGGAAAGTAGAAAATAGGGAAAAAAATCAGAAAATGGGAAAATGAAAAACTGAAGAGATAGAAATAGATTTACTAGGCATAAGGTTCTTGATTTCAACGTACAAAGAGAAATTAGACGATTGCACCTTCTAAAGGCAACAAAGTCAAGAAGTTATAAACCAAATATAGACTGGAATAAAGCCAATGCTTCAGCGTTCCTTAGTTCCTCAGTCGCCATTTAGAATTCACACAAAGGAAATGCACCTTATCACTAAACTCATAGTTTCACACGAAACGAAAAGATCATACCTTATCTAGCCGACATTTTGGTATCAAATCACTCATCAGTGATAAGGTGCGAAAAAAAGGACCCACATGGTGTGGTGGTGAACGCGTTACTCCCCGGAAAGGCCGATAGCGAGTTCGTTCCCCACCATAGACACCTGCGGTCCAGAGTTTTGCTAATATCTCAGCAACGTTATGGTTATATTTCGCTTAGTAACTTCCCATGAAAATTATAGAAGGCAAAAAACAAAACGTTAAACATTCAATCATCGGTACTCAGAAAGCAGACAACGACTTGGAATCCACTAAACGTTATGTTCCACTATTTTACTGACGAGAACTCTTTTTTCACATGAACTACATCAAAGGATTTCAATAACGCAAGGGCTTGAGATGCGCCTGCATCTAGTGTCTGCATTAATTAATTCCTAAGCCGTATATCTTCGTGTTCTCACTTTTTATTATTCCTCATACTTCCACTCACGATTTTTTCTTCTTAATTCATAACTGTTGCCAATGGCTTAGCACTATATCATAGATGGAAGAGGGTGTTGTTACGTACCGAGGTATTCTGTGCCTCAAAGTTTCCAAAGTTCCTCAACAAAAATTCCCAATGTTGAGTGCATGTTTAACATTTCTGCTTGGAAGCCCATAATAGAGGTAAATTAATGACAGGAATCTCAGCCGTCCTATTAGCGGTTTAATCGTAAGGTAGCAAATCTTGCCTGGAGCAATTAGACTAGGAAATGCCCATTGGGAAATCCGGGGAAGCCCTGGTACAGTTATCTCTGCATTCCTGGAAAAGAAAATCATACCTGATCAGCAAATTATCAGGAAGAAGGAAGAAAATGTGCTGCGAGTGGCAAAATTGTTTTTGATGACGAAGCGTTTACGGTTTCAAGTGCTCAAGCAATTTACAAAATCTGGTATAGATATCTCAGATGATGAGACATGTCAGCGTCATTGTTGTTATTATATGTTTCACATCATACCATATCGTGAAAAGGAATAGGCAGTGAATAAAAAGGGACTACATTGCCATTTATAATAAATCTTCGGCGTAACCAGCCTTAATGCTCGATTTGTGCTCTCTAAAACAACTACGTTGAAGGGCATCTACCTATAGGTTAAAATATGGTTGAGAGAAGGGCGAAACGAGGGGCTCACATAGAGTGGTGGTGAACGCGTTAGCCCTCAGAAAGGGTAATAACGAGTTCGATCCCCACTACAAACACCTGTGGTTCAGAGGTTTCCAAATATCTCATTATCATTGTAGTTATATTTCGCATCATACCCTCCAATGAAAAGAATAGACAATAAATAAAAAACGACAAGATTGTGAAATTCACAAAATTGTTTGCTTTCAAACAAAAATCCTGTCCTTCAATGGAGGAGTATAGCAGCAAGTTCAGGAATTTCATAGAGAAAGCCTTTTCCAATTAAAAGCACTACGGCGGTCTTAGTTGTAAACGGACTAATCAATAACTATGTTCATCAAAAGGGATAAATAGTCGTGCAATTTATTCGCAGCAAAATATTGGTTCAGCTGGGTTGCCGACCGGTATTCTCATGAAAGCTAATTATCCAGGCATAAAATGAACTGTTAACTGGGAACCAATAATATTTATTACTACTTGACTCGTTTGTACTTTGTCTATCATTTTATAGTAGACAATAAGAATAGCTAGGTAAATGTCCTAAAAGAAAACAATTCATTTATTATGGTAACGACATTTAGTGTTTCCTCTATTATTTAATGCTTCTTTTTAGTACAGAAGAATTCCATATAGTGAAAATTTCAATCATCTGTATTTATTTAATTATTGGATTATTATGGACTGGAAAGTTAGAACAGATTTTTAGTTCAACGCTGACGTTGTCTGAGAAGCTTTGAACTTCTGACATAGTTCTATATAGTTTGTTTCCCTTCATGAACATGTTGGTAACACTCGAAAAACCTTCCGCTTGCATAGTAAGGATATTAACAACAGTAATAATAGTAATAATGACAACACAACAGTATAAAAATAGGGTCTACCAACGGTGTACTTCCTCTTCGTGGATGGGAGGTGTCCCTAGGTGTCGTGATCCGATCTACGGTGTGGGGATTCATCCTCTACCAAGTTCTGCCAAGCTGTGAAGTAGTCCGGCTTTCCCATCAGGAAACCTAGCTAAGATTAAACCAATACCAAGATCCACTAGCGTTCTAGTATCAAACTAGTCGCATGGTGGCAAATCTCCTTCTGGTCCACAATGGCAGCGACTAGCTGTGGTGGTAAGGACCTGGGGCAGACTTTGGCCTGGCTGAGCTCGGGACTCTGGGGAACCGCAATGGCTAAACCAGCAAAACTCCGAAGAACGGAGAATATGCTGAAGCTCGCATAACCAGTGAAGAAAGGCCAAGTAGTAAGCAAGCAAGTAAGTAAGTAAGCAAGTAAGCAAATTAAAAAAGATCTTATTAAAGATCTTATCTCAGAAGACTTTATTAAAGGCCTCATTGATTGAAGAAACTGTCACTATCGTTATTTTTACTACAAGAATTTAAGTAATTAAGTAAGCAAGTAAGTATCAAGTAAATATTAATGAGAATTAAATTAAAGAAGGTCTTATTAAAGATCTTATTAAAAATCTTATTGATTAAAAAAGATTCTCACGTATTTTGCTATTGACATAGACATTATTACTAGTATTACTACCGTTCCCGCTGACCGGTGATTGCTGATGGCATCGTTAAGTCGAAAACAGGCCCGAGAGAAAGGCAAATCAAGTGGTGCCGTGAGCAACACTTGAGGACGACGGAAAGATAGTTGCGATTCCATCTGGTCTGGGGTCCATGTTTTGCAAACATATCAGCATCATTGGGCGGGTGTGGCGCAGTGGGCAGAGACGCCCTGCAGCACACACGATGGAACCAATCCTGCGCCCAAGGCACACCATGCCTTCCATCGCTCCGTAGTCGGCAAATTGGTACCAGGCTTGTCTAGGAGTATAGCAACACTGTCTCGATATATCGGTAGGCCACCGCGATTCAGTGTAAAGGCCCAATTTGCATTCAATCACCTCAAACGATATTTAATGAAGTCGAATGCACGGCACATCCCCTCAGGGATTGATCAACGTCGAGAGCTCTATCGTTTTATTTTTTACCAGCATCATAATGGTTGTATACCATATAATATCCTGTCACGGAGAAGAATAATAGGCAGCGAATAAAAAGCTAATGTTATTATTGCTATTATTATTATTATTATTATTCTTATTATTATTTTTAATGCGTCGTTTTTTTCAGCAGTCGTGAGGTGGTTACACAGCATACGTTTACTTCCGCTCAAAAAGCACATGTAGAACAACAGTAATTGACATTTCGGCAGTACAGCCTTCTTCGAAATAGCAAATCGATTCTGGGAATTATTATTATTATCACTGTTAATACTATTATAACTCATCCATATATACGTCTACTTCAACGTTTGATAATTTAATGAGCAGCACATGAGCTCTATTAAAAAACAATGTAAACATTTCAACTTTAGAATCACCTACAACCGTCAGCAAAGACTCTTTTAAGGAGAAAAAAAGTCGGTAAGAGTAGCATTAACACAGGCGATGAGCTTCAATTTGATGAATACGAGCACTTCAATCAACGATGAGCAACAAATGGCAATGAAGCGTTTCGTTTAGTACCCGCTTTTGATGAGAATGTACTGAGAACTAATTGAAAAACACTTCCTCTATTTGAAATTGAACACTCTTCAATGAATTGCAAAAGTGTTCAAAAACAATGACGATTGGTATTTCAAAGTCAGCATGAAACAATGTGACTATAAATTCGTCGTTTTCTCTCTCGTTGACGACTCGTCGACCATACGACTCTGCGACTCTGAGCGGCTGTTCTTCCTCGGTGGAAGACAGTTGAAAAAAGCGGCTCTAAGGAAGGCGATTCTGCCGAAACGTCAGCTACGATTGCGTTGTAAGTGTGTTATTGTATGGAAGTAAACGTATGCTGTTTAACAACCTTGAGATTGCTGAAAGAAAAAACGTTAAATTCATAATCCAATGCCGAAGTAAATAGAAAGTCGATCCTGGGTACTAATACGACTATAGATGGTGCAATGGACTAGGCGCGCTTATCAGTGGCGCAAATGTAGTGACAGTGTTCGCTTCTGCTGATGTCCTTGATCTCTGATTCTTTCTCTGTGCGTGCGTTCGCTGGTATGTGTGTATATGTGTAGATATGTGTATGCACATATACATATTTGTAGATATGTTCGTGTGTGACGTTATGAACGCGTATTTTTCCATTTGGTGCATGTGGTGTATAAGAGTGTATGTGCGAGCAGTTGTGGTTGCACGTGTGTGTCCATATGTAGAGTTTGTGTTTATCCGTGTGCATTTATGAGTGTATGTGTGCAGATCCATACGTGTAAAGTGTAGATGTATGTGTGTACGTGCATTTCTTTCTTATTGTACTGAAACTTAATGTATGCCAGTAATTTTTTAGAAGGCATCATTTAAGTGCAATTGAAGTGGTGCTCACGATTCTAGACGTGGTTGAAGTGCTAGTCCGCACCTCAGCATTAATTTCAAAATTGGGCAATCAAACGTACACAGATGGTGTTTTGCTTATACAACTCTTACGTATAGCGGGATTCAACTCCTAGCAAAATCTTCTTCTCCTGAGTTAAGGATCTCAATATTTTCATTCAGAAGTGCAGCTAAGAGTAAATCTACAGTGCAGCAGAGCCCGACAATCATAAAGAATAAAAAAGTATACAACTCTCCGCGCTGATCAATCTCTGAGGGATGCGCCATTCATTCGACTTTATTAAGCATCGCTGGAGGTGATTGGCTTTTGCAATGACTCGCGGTGGCGTACCGATGTGCCGAACCTGTGCTGCTATCCTCCAAGACAAGTCTGGTGCCGAATTGCTGACTCCGGAGCGATAGAAGGCTTGATGAGCCACGGGCGCGTGGATTAATCGCATGTGTATTGCAGGGCGTCTCCGACCACTGCCCTACATGCGCCCGATAATCATCCCATGTTATTTTCTTGTTAAAGTTATTTGGAAAGAGGTCATTGCACCAAAAAGTGTGATGTCTGTTTTAGCTTTCAACAGAGAGAAATGGTGTTTACAGGTGCCGACTTAAGTTACTCGATGACTAGCAATAACAAATGGTACGGATGAAAATAATCATTGGAGAGTAAGAAATAACAATGCTAAAGTATTCATTGTAGACTATGAAGAATGAAGAAAGGATAGTGGCATTCTCACGAAAGTAGCAGCTACTCTGTGTTATCTAAATGCGCGGATCATCCAACGGTTAAGATATTGATATATTAAGGGGTCAAGAAGTTCCTAAGATGATGGCGTAAAAATGAAGAGGTATGAAGCACGTTATAGAGGCACTGCAAAGAACGGAATTGCAGCACAAGCCTGGCAGTTTCGAATTAGAGGCAACATCAAGAAATGCGCACTCAGTGTAGGAAAACAACTGCATGAGAAAATAAGGAATAGTCTCTACGGAAAAACCATTGGGTCGAAAAGATGACCTCAAGGTTTCGGGCTCGGCAAATGATCGATGGTATCTCTTTCTAAAATTTGAACTTTGGCACTTCCTCTCTAACGTCTGCACAATGTTTGCTAAACATAGTAGGTATAATACACATGTAGTGTGCTCTTGGTAACCAGAAAACCGTTCATTTAGATCTGTTTATCTTCGCTCAAGATTTGATGCCCTAAATATTCTTACGAATTACACTTAGTTCTATCCTTCTTCTAGCTATTTTTTACTCCTTAATCATCAATTCTTGTTTACTTATAGTCCACGGGAAGAATATTTCACAACGTTTTCCTAGTAATGTGGTGAGCATCGATAGACGCGAACATGGGGTCACCCTGAGTTCTTCTGTCGATTGAGTCCACTGTTGCCTTGACGAGCATTATTACGATATTCCGTTTCCATACTTGCTTAAAGCTGGAGATAGTTAAAGGTAGAGTAATTAGTATTCAAGACCTCTATAACTAGAATTGTGATTTCGATGTGATCCGTGAAGCACGGCCCTTATCAGGGTCGTGCTTGCTTCAGTGGTGAGCTTCGTCTAAAGGTAAAAGAAAAAGCGACAAATTTGCTGTGAGAAGCTTGCAGCTTAGACTAAACAATTTGTAAGAAGCATGCATAACTTATGGCATATAGATCGATTGTGATACTTGTTCATCTTGCAGGTGCACTTCATGCTCATAAACGTTCATTTCAAAGGTATCTAAGGTTTGTTCTCCAGCAAGGTCTCTTGCACTCAAAATGAAAGTTTCAAAATAAGAATTGTTTGAGTAGAAGTTTTTTGGTAAACAACCCATATCGAAGGATGTACTTTTAATGCTTTTTTGATTCATCAGGCTGATATTCTGCTAATCATATGAGGGAGCTTTAATTTAGGATGTTCTTCTCGACATTGCTGGTTTACTATTTTTGGCTACGGAACGCGAATATCTAGTACGGACCTGCTTCGCAGACGGATCCCCAGAGGGTTAGTGGAAGTGGCCTCAGGTGGCGAATAGAATGTTAAGCACTAAGCAAAAACGATCATGTGCTTCCTGAGATACACATAGATCCACAGATAGACTCGCTCTTTCTGCGGCGCCGATTTGGCACATGCCTTGTATGTTTACGTATAGATGTTTATGAATGCGTGTATAAGTGTGTTCCCGTTTGTGCAGGTTCTAGTCTGCAAGTAAATGCAGCCAAAAGAGTGCAATCACTTGACTAGTGAGTGGACAGGGGTTGGTTAGGAGTAGCCTCAACACATAGGCTCCTCGTGCGCTCTGGGAGAGACTGGCAAGCTACTCTTGTGTATACCCGGCTACCATATTCATTGCTACGTGTTGCTAAATGTTAGGCGTGGTTAAATAAACAAGTCTCATTTTCTTGACTTTGAAGGAACCCCTATAATGCAACGTTGAGTGGACGTGTACGAAGTGGCCGCCAAAATCTCAGTACCATTTTAGGCTATTTATATCCAAAAAAACTAAGGAAACGATCTGTACCTATAATGAGCATTCAGTTGCATCTGGATCCTCCGTGGAGGACTTGGTGATGCAGACTAGAAGCAAAAGGCATGAAATGATCGGACTGGCCGAGACGAGAAGGCGCCGCCCATTCAACACCACCATGACACTGGCGAAGAATTGTTAATCGGAAAATGCCACAGCGGAGGAGTCGGCGGCGTTGGCGTTTTCATCAACACGAGTTTGGCCATGAACATCGATTCATTCTAACAACTAACAACCTGAATTGGACGTTTGACAATCCTCATCGTTTACGCACAGACATCAAGCTACTACAAAGACGAAATAGCATTGTTCTATATGGACTTAAAGAAGTTCTACAAAGAAGACCATAGATTCTTTAACATCATCATTGGAGACTTTAACGCTAAGATTGGATAGGAGAAGTTTAAATCCAGATCTTTATATCGTAGTTTAGTATTAGTCATAAAGTATATGCTTGAAGGTAAGAGACAGAAGGTGAGAAAATTTTTGTGACAATCTCATCACATTTTATTTAGATTAAATAAGTAATTGTTTCCAGTGCGATCCGTCTTTCACATATACTATGCTGATCTCAGCACTTCTTGCATTCGGTTCGCTTTCTGGTATCCATTATCCACGAATGTATTTGAATATTTCGGGTTTGGCTTCGATTGCTGCTTAAGGATTTCCTTTCGTCATAAATATCGTTGAGTGGTGGTCGAGTAGATTACGCCTGGAGTCCTGTGATAGCCGGACTATAACGTTCTCATTTGGACTGCAAAGAGTGAATTTTTTTCAGACAAGTTCAGTACCAAATTCCACACCTCGAAAGGATATGAGGTTTGGTGGGCCTGGAGAAGTATCGAACCAGGACCGTGCTCATGATGATTGGCGTAACTACCACTGTGTTATCCGCCCCTCCAAAAATGTTTAATTATTCTTAGGACTATAGTTAAGTAATAGCACAGTTATTTAACCAGTCATAATAACTACAACTAGATAATTATAGATTCCTTCCCAAAATTTATTTCTGCCTAAAATTGCTATAGCACTGTTTAGAAGTAAATAGCTTGCTCATATCGTCTGTATAGAAAGATATTTTCGGCGGTTCCTGAGTAAAAGGAGTATTGGACGGCTTTTTACTTTGACAAAAGCCAGAGCCAATGTAAAGTTTTTAATTGGAAAAACCTAATGGTTTCGTTTAAGAAATACGGAGTAACCGAAAATCGAGTAGGTTTCAGCAATTGTTAGTGATGGATAACGCGGAACAGTCACAATGGGAACTACACATCACAGTGATTGTCGCCTGTATGGAAGAATGAGGAGCTCTATTTTAGGTAAGTTTAAACCGAAGCCATTTGTAGCTTGTTTGACGGCATCAATACCATTCGTCATAATAAAGGATAAAGGTTAAAAGGATAAAGCTCTCGGCGTTAATCAATCCTTCAGCGATGCGCCATGCATTCGATTTCATTAAGTACCGTTGGAGGTGATTGAATGCATATCTGGCCTTTACAATAACTTGTGGTCGCCTGCTGATGTATCGATTCAGTGTTGCTATCCTCACAGAGAAGTCTGGCACCAATTCGCCGACCTCGAATGGATGGAAGGCTTGGTGGGCCATGGACGCCGGGATCGCCTCAAACCGCTGCGCCACACACGCCCTATTCGTCATAGTAGAATTTCTTATTCGTATCACTGACATTATGATGAAGATTTCAAGTGAAACGACGAATGAGGTCGGTTAGAGCTTCGAAGAATGAAAACAACGTCAGTACCTATGCGGTCAACGTCCGGGGAAAATTGAAAAGTGAGACTGTAAACAACAGATTTTATGAGCTCAAAACCGATTATATGAATATTCCAATGAAAATGTCGATTCTGCCACTCACCATGTTGGTGCCGATATAGAAAACCATGCTAATCAACAACTATTAGGGTCTCGGTTATGGCCTATTTCTGCCTATTTGTGCCGGACTGATTAGAGCTGTCGTACAAAGGCCTTGAAATAAGCTCCTTGCGATCCAGTGAGGCTGGTTTACTCGCTATAGACAAGAACGGAGAACGCCCTAGTGGTGTTGTATCCGGATTCCAGAGAGAATCGCTCCCGACAAACATTAAGCTAAGTTCAAGAGGAAGGCGAAACTCTTAAGTAATAACCTGCTAGGAGTCCGAATATTTTCAAGAATAATGAATGTAACAGACGCAGTTAAGTCAAAGATGTATTTGGATCTGCGCAATATTTGGAGGCCTGTCATATTAATAAATAAACCGATACATATACAATCATCAATGATGCTGAGATATTTACAGAACTCAGACTTGTCAAGAACCTAATCCACGTCTGCCCTTTCTGGAGCTGATGCCTTACCCACTCCACCACTGAAGCCCTAGCTTTGCCTTCCTCTCTGCCAGTTTTTTCTTCATGCCAACGTTGCGAGCAACAGCAACCCGTCAAGGGAAATGATCCACGGAGCGCAAATCGACATTGAACCCATTTAAGCAAAGGCTGCAGTAGAAATGATATTGATTGAGGTAACAGTCCGAGGAAGGGACAGGTGCCATAAGGTTAGGTGAATAAAGTTATCAACCTCGTGCTAACTTGTAAATGAAAGAATAAAAGACACAGTTTTCTGTTTTTTTCTATTTCATGTGCATTTTCTGGAATCGTTCCCAGTTCTTCTTCTGAAAAGCGAAGGAACATATTAAATAGGTTTTCTTGTCTATTTTTACTCAGTGCTTCACAAGTGCTGTACATTCACTTGCATTTTACAGTACTGCAAGATTATTTTACAATGGTACAAACGGAAGAATTATTGTACAAGTACTAAATTCCATTGGTCGTCTGTTCACATAGCGTTTTCGACAGCATCACATTGCTTACATGAAACTAACGAAAACGATCCACTGTATATCGAAAACGCCATTCAACCAGACTACATATATTCCGGCGGGTTTTCTTAGTTTGTAGGTGACTGTGGCCGACCTTCGAAACTTCCCGCTTAAGTGGCATACGCATTGTTCATTCAAAGAAGGCAAGTCCTAGCATAACCTACAAAAGCATCCCAACAAATTTCGAAGAGCTTTTTTTGTTTTATTCTAATAGATATACCGTTAAGGGGTACTGGCAACTATAATTATTGCCGGAATTACCATGTTTGTCGTTGCTCGTCGACTGATCCTAGTGTGCGTAGGTAAAGTCTTCATTAGTCGATGTCACGTCCAATTTTAGCTCAGTGGATTTTCCTTCTAAACATGCTGAGAGTCCTATTCTTTTTCTAAGGTCTTCAAATTCTGCCTATCATGTCTGTGGTCTTCCCGTTGCGCGCTGGGTATCCCTTGCAACCTAGTCGCTATGATGTCATTTCACGTGTCCGGTTAGCATGACTCCGACATTACGCGTTATGGATTTTCGATTTGCTTATCATTTCACTTCACTTTTCTTCCAATTTTACTTTTTTTGCTTTTTCTTATTTAGTGCTGCCGCTTATTTATTTATACCAACGAGTGAATTTTAAGATATAAACATTACAGTGTGTTGCGCATGAGCATATCTTGCTTGCCTTAGGATCTCATAAATTCAGCTAAATATTTAAATGATATTCGCTAATTTTTCTGTGTTCGCTCTCCAGCGGGTCTGTCTTTACCGACTGCTGTTTAATCATCTCTGGTTTATTTTCTGTGATAACATCACGAAAATTTTTCTAGAATCCCATTGCTTTCTCAGCACTGGTGAAACTACGGGTTACGTTTAACACAGGGGTTATTGGTGTACAGCAACGCAACACTTGGTCATTGCTTCGACCCTTGACCAAGACTCACCAAACTGTAGTCGTTATGGGTTCAATTGATGTTATACTGTCTGGAGGAGAGTATCACTGACCTAATACATTGGTTGGCCACCGCGAGTAAAAGCCAGATTTGCATTCACCTCCAAACGATGCTTAATGAAGTTAAACTCTCGGCGCCTAGCTCAAGGACTGATCAACGTCGAGCGCCTTATCCTTTTATCGACTGGTAAAGATACGATGGTAGATCGAATATGCGTAATACTTTTTTCTGTTTTAACAGAATAGTTGTGTGCTTGTGTTAGATAAATTTTTCAGCGAAATAGGTACAGCTAGAAAATGCTGCTTGAAAAAAATTAGTCTAGAGAGATCGGTAGTCGTAATTGGAGTACCACTGAATTCCCTAAGACGCCAGCTACTTCGCTTCGTAGCTGTTTGTATGACCGTCTACTCACAGAGCAAAATTGCACCGTATGCC